AATTAAAAAACTAAATGCAGAGATATTCCATGTTCACAGGAAGACTCAATATTGTCAAGATCTCAGTCCTCCCAAATTGATCTGCATATTCAATGCAATCCCAATAAAAATCCCAGTTAGTTATGTTGTGAATACCAACAAACTGATTCTGAAGTTTATATAGAGAGGCAAAAGACCTGGAATAGCCAGCATAATATTGAAGGAAAAGAACAGAGTCAGAGGACTGACACTACTCAACTTCAAGATTTATTATAGGGCTTCAATAATCAAGACAGTGTCATTTTGGCAAAAGAATTGAAAAGTAGATCAGTGGAACAGAAAAGAGAACCCACATAATTATATATACCCAACTGATCTCTGACAAACGACCAAAGATGGTCTTTCCAACAAATGGTGCTGGACATCCACATGGAAAAAAATGAATCTAGACACAGATTTTTACACCCTTCATAAAATCACCCTAAAATGAATCACAGATCAAAATGTAAAATGCAAAACTATAAAATCCCTAGAAGATAACACAGGAGACACAGGAGAACCTAGATGACCTTGAGTAAGGCAATGACTTTTTAGATACAACACCAAAGGCATGATCCATGAAAGAAATGATTGATAAACAGGACTTCATTAAAATGAAAAACTTCTGCTCTGACAAGACCCAGTCAAAATAATAAGAGGATAAACCTCAGACTGGGAGAAAATACTTGCAAAAATATATATCTGATTAAAAACTGTTATTCAAAATATACAAAGGACTCTTCAAACTCAATAATGAGAAAACGAGTAACCCAGTCTAAAAATGAGTAACAGACCTGAATAGACAATACACCGAGAAGATATGCAGATGGAAATATGCACATGAAAAGGTACTCCACATTTCCTTAGGGAAATGCAAATTAAAACAATGAGATACCATTACACACCTGTTAGAACGGCCAAGATCCAGAACACTGACAAACCAGATGCTGGTAAGGGTGTGGAATCATGAGAATTCTGTTCATCGCTGGTAGGAATGCAAAATACTACAGTTGCTTTGGGAGACAGCTTGGCAGCTGATTACAAAACTCAACAGCTAAACGTACCATATGAGCCAGCAACAGCATTCCTTGATATTTACCCCAAAGAGCTGAAAACTTATGTCCTCACAATGATGCTGGAGGTTATCACTCCACTCAAGACTTCCTGCTTCCACTGTTGCTGTCGAAAACTCAGCTGTCAGATAACTGGGTTTCTTTGATAGGTAATTAGTATTTTCTTTCTACATCCTTTTAAGATCTCTTTATCTTTGATGTTCTGCACTTTGACTACAAGGTATCTAGTTGTGAATTTTTGTTTGTTTAGCCTTCTTGGAATCTGTTATGTTTCCCAAATCTGGAGACTTGTGTTTTGCACCAATTTGGGAAAATTCTCATCAGCGTCTTTAAATATTGTTTCTCTCTCATTCTCACTAATCTTTCTATCTGGAATCCCAATTAGATTATATGACAAATCATTCTTATTCTCTTCTCCGTGTCCCTTGACCTCCCTTACATACTTCCCATCTCCTTTTTTTCAGACTGGTTTTCTGGGTAATATTTTTAGATTTACCTTTTGCGTAGATCAACTTCATCTGTTTAATCTGTCCATGGAGTTTTGTGTGTGGTTATGTATAAACGTTATTGAACTATTATCCATTGATTTTTAAATTTCATTGATTCCATTTTAACTTCTGGAAGGACTTTCCAAGTAGTGGTTCTTTTTAAAATTCTGAATGGTTACAAATTTTTGGAGGAGACTTGTCCTTCTCACCTCGAGCCAAGACCAAGAAAGATATGTTCTCTTGCCATCTCCCTTTGCCAGGAAGCAGATTTGTTTTTTTTCCCTAGCACCCTTTCATGGAGATTGTAGCCCTTCTGAGGGGTCTGGTTTCTGCAGAAGGGTCTCTGTTCGGACTCCCTACCGCATACACATCAAAGGCGTTGTCTTCTGGTCCCAGTTTACCCATTAAAACCTAAGCTCTAGCTTCTGGTTTCACTAAACACCATGACTAAGGATTTCCATGGCTCCAAAGCTAGTTTACTACTCTGATTTCAATTCCATTTTTCAGCCCTTTACTTTCCTTTTTTAAGTTCTGTTACGCATTTTCTGCTGTCATTTCTAGCTATCCCGTAGTGGAATTGTTCTTCATAATTGTCATAAAAGGCTTTCATAATTTCCCGTATTTTCAGAATCAGACATCTTTTCCAATGAAGATTGTCAGATAAAACAGAATGCTCAATTAAATCTGAATTTTAGATGATCATATAACATACATTATTGTAGTATAAGAATGCCCATGCTGTATTATTCATTATTTATCTGAAGTTCAAGTTTTGCTGCGTGTCCCATGTTTTTATTTGCAAAATCTGGCAAAGTTACTTCTGATCTCCTCCCCCCTCTTTGTGCTCCCAGCCACAGGCCTTTCTGTCGCTCAGAATCAGCAAGCTCACTTCCAGTCTCAGAGCCTTTATACTTGCTTTTCCCTTACCTGGAACATTCTTATCCCAGACCTCCACAAAGCTGGCTCCATATCATGGAGATCTCACCTCAATGTCACCCTACTCCCTCTACTTGCCCTGTCAATCTTTATCATCATTATAAAGCTTAACACTTTCTGAAATTACATGATCTATTCACCTGTGTTTTTGTCCTTTCTCTTCTTTGTAGAGTTCAAGGCTCACGAGGGCAAGGGCCTTGTTAGTTGCTGCATCCCCAGCACCTGACACAGAGCCTGGTACTTAGTAGGTACCGAATAAATATTTGTTGCATGAATAATTGGCACCCCAAAACCTGTTCTGCAGGATGTAAAGTTATGAAGATCAGCGGGAGGTAAAACAGCCGGCTATAACCAAAGAGAACAAAAACAAATATGTCAAGAAAAGTCAATATGGATCTTAAACAAATCTGCCTTGAAGAAAGGACTGATCTCAGCAGTGAGGGGCAGACTCTGGGAGATCCCCCAGACCCACCTCCTATCACGGAGCTTGGGCTGTAGTGAGCAGGGACTGAAACAGAGAGTGGGAGTGCCCGGTTTAACTGGGCTCTGATCTTTGGCTGGATTGAGGACCTGCATTGGACCAATGTTTTTCCTGCAGTTTTGTGGCAGTGAGAAATAATGGGGTAGCTGACCCCTCACTCACTTTTCTACTGATGTAGAAGTCAGGCAGGGCACACTTGGATCCTGCTTGGATCCCCATAAACCCTGGGATTTAGAGGCAATTCAAGACAAAGGGAAAACTTCAGGAAAGGGGCTAATTTAATACAAACTAGTGAAATTTTAAAAGAACCAGGCTGGAAAATCACATCTTCAGTTTCAAAATCTTGGAGGCTGGGGCGCCTGGGTGGCTCAGTCAGTTAAGCGTCTGCCTTTGGCTCAGGTCATGATCCCCGGATCCTGGGATAGAGTCCCACATTAGGCTCCCTGCTTAGTGGGGAGTCTGCTTGTGCCTCTGCTCCTCCTCCTCTGCTCCTGCTCTCTCTGGCTCTCTCTCTCTCTCTCTCCCTCTCAAATAAATAAAAATCCTTAAAATAAATAAATAAATAAATCTTGAAGGTTAATATGTGGCATGCTGGAGATCTGGAAGAGTATATTGGGAGGAATAAATTACAGATGGTCCCTGACTGATGACAGTGTGACTTGGAATTTTTTTTATTTTACAATGATGTGGAAAGTAATACATATTCAGTAGAAACTGTACTTCAGATTTTGAATTTTGATCATTTGCCAGGCTAGTGGTGCTGGTCACTGGCGGCGAGCTGCAGCTCCCAGTCAGTCACTTAATCACAGTGAGGGTAAACGACTTACACATACACAACCACTCTGTACCCAGACAGCCATTGGTTTTCACTTTCAGTGTAGTATTCAATAAATTACAGGAGTGAATAATGAACATTTACTACAAAATAGGCTTCCTGTTAGAAGGCCAAATATATGGTTTGGCTCAGCTGCAGGCCAATGTCTGTGCTCTGAGTATGTTTAAGGTAAGCTATGATGTTCAGTTGGTTAGGTGTATTAAATGACTTACAATATTTTTAACTTATGATATTTTCAAATTACGATGGGTCTATCACCGCACACCCTCATTGTAAATGGAGGAAGATCTGTGTAAGCAATTAGGTACTGGTGAATCATAAACCGAGAGAATGAAAATGCTGAAATAGTTGGAGAGAGAAGTAGGAGGGGGCTGGTAGGCCATATCAAGAAGCTTGGCCTTCATCAGGAGGGTACATGGGAGTCACGCTGGATTTTAATCAGGAGAGTGACTCCAGTCTCTGGATGTGATCTGTACTTGGAGAGATCTCCCTACTCCTGTGCATTGGAGAGAACAGGACTGCAACGAAGACTGGTCAGAAAGACAATGAAAGCCTGAAAAACCATAACGCTAATTCTAATCCTAGTAGATATGAACTCAACCAAACACTAAATCCATTACCCACCTAATACTGTTTACCCCACAGCTACGCAATCCAGCTGACACTGGTGTTAACATCTCCATTTTACAGGTACGGTTGCCAGGTTGAGAGGATGAGGGCTGTGCCCAAGATTACTGAGTACCCAGTTCCGTCTGACTAGATCGCCTCTTTTCACTCCCTTGGATTAGGCATAGGAAGTGGGAAGGAAAAGGAGAAGACAGATGTGCAAAATAATTAGGAGGCAAATAATAATTATTATTATATTAGCACTAGACGAAGACAGTGGTGATGACCGTAAGGAATGCAAAGGCGATTTCATTCATTTGTCACACGCTCGAGACCTCAACGTGAGCTTCCGCGTCTGGGAAAAGACAAAGCTCATTAAGGTGCCGATGAGAGACATTCTGTCTAACACGACAGAAAACTTACACCGTCGCAGTGACAACGCCACGCCCCATCCGCCGCCCCCGGTTCTCCGCAGTCGCCAGAGCGGCCCCGCCCCGGCGCCTCCGCGGCCACGTGGTCCGGCGTCCGCGCGCAGGCTCCCGGCGCCGGCGCTTCCGGGTTGGCGGCGGCGTCGCGGGGGCCCCAGTCCGGGGGGGCGCAGGAACCCCGGCGGCCGGTTCTGCGGAGCGGGGCGCCAGGGCGGCCCCGGCGGGAGTGCGCCCGCCAGGCTGCAGGGTGGGCCGGGCGCCCCGAGAGGTAGGTCTGTCCCGGACCCGCCAACCGTGGGCGCGGGATCGCGGCCGTGTCGGGCGCTCCCCAGCCCTGCGCTCCCCTGTCCCGCCCGAGGGGGCCCGGGCCGTGTTGGGGGCGCAGCTCCGCGGGCCCGGGGCTCGGGAGAATCGCCTCCCTCGGGCTCGGGCGCTGCCTGGCGGCCAGTCTGGGCGATCGTGCCACCCCCTTCCCGAGGGAGGCCCGATGCGCCTTCGGTTATTACTCAATTGCAGCAATCTCCAGATTTGTGTACATTTTCTTTGCCTCTTTTCTATGTTTTCACAGGCAAAATGGTTAAAAATGCGTGAAATCGAGACATTGCAGTTCCCACTCTAATCTGTGCAACTGTGGAAAGTTAGTGCTGGGAAAGGACTTTCAAGATGGTTGATTCCCATTCCTTAATTTTACAGAGGAGAAAACAGACCCCCGAGAAGTAGCGTGGTTGTTGGAAATTCTCCTAGCTAGGTAACGGTATGACAGGGATGAGAGTCACGGTCTAAGTTTTTAAGTCCACTTCTGAAAGTGGTAAATGGTCAAATTCATTTAACCGTGTGAAGTGAACAGTAGGTTCGCTTGGGCCAGGTTTAATCTGTGTAGATGATGATTCCTCCTTTTTAATCATTATTTTCTTATTTCAGGCTTCACGCTTCTTGGCCTCTAAAGAAAATGGCAGAAACGTCATCAGAGCCTTCTGGGCAGCTCGTTGTACACTCAGACACTCACAGCGACACTGTTCTGGCCAGTTTTGAGGATCAGCGGAAGAAAGGCTTTCTCTGTGACATCACGTTAATTGTGGAGAATGTGCATTTCCGGGCTCACAAAGCCTTACTCGCTGCCAGTAGTGAATACTTCTCAATGATGTTTGCTGAAGAGGGGGAGATTGGCCAGTCCATTTACATGCTGGAAGGCATGGTTGCCGACACATTTGGTATCCTGCTGGAGTTCATCTACACGGGTTGTCTCCAGGCCAGCGAGAAAATCACAGAACAGATTCTGGCCACTGCTCAGTTCTTAAAGGTCTATGACCTGGTAAAGGCTTACACAGATTTTCAGAATAATCACAGCTCCCCAAAGCCAACGCCTCTGAACACCGTTGGCGCTCCGGTGGTGGTGATTTCTAATAAGAGAAATGGGCCTCCGAAACGGAAGCGGGGGAGACCGAGAAAAGTCAACAGTGGGCAGGAGGGGAAGTCACAACTGGCTGCGGAGGAAGAAATACAGCTGAGAGTAAACAATTCAGTTCAAAATAGACACAACTTTGTGGTGAAGGAGGCAGACGGTGGCACACTGAATGAACAGATTCCAGCGAAAGCTATGGAAGAGCCCGAGCCTGCCTGTGAGCCGGGCAGAGGGGAGGAAATGCCTGCTGAAAAAGACGAGAACTGTGATCCCAAGACCCAGGATGGGCAGGACAGCAAGAGTCGGTACAGCAAGCGGAGGATTCAGAGGTCCGTCAAGCTTAAAGATTACAAACTTGGCGGGGATGAAGAGGAGCAGAGTTCAGCCAAAAGGGTCTGTGGAAGGAGAAGGCGCCCGGGAGGCCCTGAGGCCTGTTGTAAGGACTGTGGCAAAGTGTTTAAGTACAATCACTTTTTGGCAGTCCACCAGAGGAGCCACACGGGTAATTGTCCTTTCGCAGCTTAGTGGAGCGCGTTTTGGAGGGATGATGGTGACAGCATTCGTTGATTGTGCAACTTCCGGGTGATGGGCCTTATAATAAGATCTTTATGTATATGGTACTGCAGCTAGTTCTCACAACAGGCCTATGAAATAGGGAATGTTATCCCCATTGGACAGACGAAGAGACCAAGTCCCAGAAATAATTTGCCCAGGTCAGCTCTTTAGTGACAGAGCTGGGACTTGAACCCAGGTAGCCTGATGGCAGAACCCTGTTTTTACTTGGCGTCATTGGTTCAAGGCTTTAATACCCGGATGTCACACTCTAGCCAGATTTACTTGGCTTTCTGACTTGTAAACATTCTTCATCTTGACTGCTATAGCTATGCTTTTGCCCAGGTCTGTGGGGACAGCTTTCTCATTCCGCCATCTAGCTGTAAATGTCTTCTCTTTGGTCCTTCTGGCCCAGCACTGGCCAGTAGATCCATTTGTGAGGATGGAAATGTTCTGTCTGCACCATCCAATATGGTGGTCACTAGCCATGTGTGATTTTTAGCACTTGACGTGTGGTGAACGTGACTGAGGAACTGAGTTTTTTATTTTAATTAACTGGCACCATGTTGGACAGTGCAGTCCTAGGCAGAAATCCCTTTCTCTTTTTGAACTCTCCCTTACTTAACTCCATCTGCTTTGGGTCAGGTTGTAGTTAACCAGCTAAATACCCCTCAACCTAATTGTAAACTTCAGTCTAGGGACTAGAGCTAGTTAAGTCTCCTCTCACCCAGCAGAGCTAGCCGTGTGGTTCTCAACCTGACCACACAGTAGAATCACCTAGGGAGCGTCTCAAACTGCCCGTGACTGAGCGCCAGCCCCCAGAGCTCCTGGTTTGATTGGGGCCTTGGTGTTTTTGAAAAATGGGTTGAGAACCCTGAATTCTGGCTCTTTAAACAAAGTAGACACTTGGGAAATATTTATTGAACTGTAATAGAGGATAGTGTAGAGAGTTGAATAGTTCTGTAATATTTGTTAAGGGAAACAGCACTTGGATCTTCCCTCTTGTCCCCAGTCTTCTCACATTTTGCAGTGACTCACTCTTGCCTGGGTCTGTGTTCGACCCATTGCAGTGGCTACCAGTAGATCCATACAGTTTGGAAACTCCCATCTTTCAGTTCTAGAAAAATCTTCTGGGACTGTTTCACGGATAATATCTCCCGTCAGTTTTCTGTGCTTTCTCTTTCTAAAATTCCCTGGAATTTGGATGTTGAACCTCTGGACCCACCCTCTAAAGTACTTACCTCTCACTTCCCATCACTTTCAGCTCCACAGTCTGGGGAATTTATCTTTATCTTAATTTATCTTTATCTTTATCCTTTATCTTTCAACTCTTGAGAGTTTTGTTTCTACCCTGTTTTACTTCTAGGAGCCTTTTTTTATTCTCTATAAATTCTTTTTTTTTTTTTTTTTTTTTGTTCCCAGTGTAGTATCTTCCCTCTGTGAGCACGTTAATGACAGCAGTTGCTTGTTTGTCAGTCCCTAACGTTTTCTTTCCCTTGGGCAGCCTCGGTTCTCCGCAAGTTACCTTTTTTTCTTAGGTGATTTGGTATCTGTTTCAGCTACTAGAAGGCCTTCCTTGAATGGTGATGTTTTGAAAAATCACATTTAATCTATGTTGGAATTGTTGACTGCAAGCCGCTGGCCACCACGTGGGTGTGGAGCGGGCTTGTGGCTGGCGACGTCACTGGAGGTGGCGTGGCTGGACCCCACCCCATCCCCCACACCTGGCATCACAGCTGCAGCCCTCTTACCCTGGCCCACCACGTTCCCGAAGATGTTCTGCCCTTCCACCTGAGGCTCTGGGCCTGGCTGCCAGTGTCTAGAGCAGGAACAGGGGAGGCTGGGCAGAGTCTCATCACCCCAAATGTAAACTTGGACTTGCTGTCCCTGGGGCAGTCCCACTCCACTGTACCTGGAGACCCTCAGTCCAGAGGCTTTTATCCTCTTCAGAGAACAGCCCATATCCTTTATTGGAGAGCGGGCTGGCATTCTGGGTCCTTGGGCCTCGGGGGGGTCTCAGTGCCTTTGGCACAGACTGTCATATGTCCCCCTTCTTAGCCCCTTTCTCAGAGATGACAAGTGCCACCAATTCCTGGGCATTGTGGAGGCTCTTGCTTGGGTTGTATCTCAGTGCTCCTCACCGCTGGCCTCAGACTCATCTGTTCCAGCTTGCCAGACTTTATTGCTGAGGTTTTCTCTCCCGTTCTGGGCCTTTGGGAGATGTGTCAGTGAAGAGAAATCCCTCTATTGTTTTAATTTAGGAGGAAACCAAGATGTGCATGTTCTTGCTCACACCGCGCTTCTGGGGCTCTCATTCCAGGGGAGCGACCTTTCAAGTGTAACGAGTGCGGAAAAGGCTTTGCCCAGAAGCACTCCCTGCAGGTCCACACCCGGATGCACACAGGCGAGCGGCCCTACACCTGCACCGTGTGCAGCAAGGCTCTCACCACCAAGCACTCGCTGCTGGAGCACATGAGCCTGCATTCAGGTAGCTGGGCTCGCACCGGAGGGCCACCTGCCGCTGGGGTCCTGGGCTGGGCGTTCCCGTGGTCATGGTGGTCTTTTCTCTGCCTGGCGACATCTCCCATGTGGTGTCTGCCTCTGCTGGGCCATAGTTTAGAGTTGTGCACAGTGTTCTGGCTTAACCTAGAGCTTATAAAACGGCTGCTGGGAGCTCAACGTACATGTTTTGGTTAACTCCCAGAGCTTAGAAATTTTTTACTTGGGTGACTTTGGGGGAAACTTGAATTCTCCAATTCTGCCCCAGTCCCCACCACTCCCTACTGCCTCACATACCTTTGCACATTTATGGTACTGTGCTTTGACTCTGAGGGCATTTGGGTACGTAGGCAAGTTACTTGTATCATTCATGGAAAATGGGGACCTGGGCCCACCGTGTTATTGTTCTTTATAGTTTTTGCGGGTTTTAGTGTCTTGTTTTTTCTTTGGCAGGACAGAAGTCTTTCACCTGTGATCAGTGTGGAAAATATTTCAGCCAGAAAAGGCAACTAAAGAGCCATTACCGAGTTCATACAGGTATAATAAAGGGAGGGAAAAATTTGGTGGGGTTGAAACATAAATACAAATTACTTCTGAAATAGTAGGGTCCTACTGTGGAAGATAATTAGTATTTAGGGAAAGAATCTTAAAAAGCAATGTGAATTAGAGGTCCTTGTGTAATTGTCTATTACCTTGTAATATATATTTAATTTTATACTACAGTTTGGTGCCATACACAGAAACCCTACAGGATTGATACCTTTCAAAAGTGCCAGTTGAGGGGCACCTGGGTGGCGCAGTGGGTTAAGCCTCTGCCTTCGGCTCAGGTCGTGATCTCAGGGTCCTGGGATGGAGCCCTGCATCGGGCTCTCTGCTCAGCAGGGAGTCTGCTTCCCCCCACCCCCACCCGCCTGCCTCTCTGCCTACTTGTGATCTCTCTCTCTCTCTCTCTGTCAAATAAATAAAATAAAATAAAATAAACTTTGAAAAAAAAGTGCCAGTTGACTAAGAGGGCACCAGTTGATGGGTTACTAGTGGTGGTTGGACAGAAATATCCCCACCTCATAGCTGTCAGTGCAGGCTCTCCCCCACTTAGCTTCTTCTCCCCTGCCAACTGATAAGAAATAAATGAGGGGTTGGGGGTAACACTGGAGTCAGTTGGCCACAGTCACACCCATGCTTCAGGGGGAAAAGAAAATTACTTTTAGCGAGATTGGAAGGGGCCCAGCTCTCCTGGGGAAGCAGTAAGTTGCAATGCATAGGAAAATATTACCTGTCCCCAAATTAATAAAAAAAAATGTTGTTGTTTTAATTAAGGTGCCATATTTAAAGTGATTATTTTTCAGGGCAGTGCTTTAACACAAATCACTGAAGAAATGCAGGGAGAGAGCGCATACATGCACTGACACTTTTTTTATTGTTGCGACAAGGCCACTCATTACCGGAATGCAACCACTGCCATCGCAAGTTCATGGACGTGTCTCAGCTAAAGAAACACCTACGAACACACACAGGTAATAAAACTCCCATCTCGGCCTTCCTTTCTGGTATATGTCACGTTTGCAGAGGGATGAGAAGGAGTCCCCTCCTCAGGCTCCATTTATCACAAATTGGGTGGGAATTTTAGATGACCATTTAAAAGCCCAAGGCAGAAGGCTGTCAACACCATTCTGTGGGGAGATCCTGACCCTATTTCTTAGCAACGCAGAGATGGCTTACTGAGCACTATTCCTGTATGAAAATTCATTTGAGGGGCGCCAGGGTGGCTCAATCGGTTGAGCGTCTGACTCTTAATCTCAGCTCAGGTCTTGATCTTGGGGTCGTGAGTTCAAGTCCCACTTTGGGCCCCACGCTGGCTGTGGAGCACACTTAAAAAAAGAAAAGAAAATCCGCTTAATACCACAAAATAGTTCAAGTCTGAGTCTGGTTCTGTTCTCTGGTTCTCAGTGAAGTACATTGAGAGTGTATTTCAGCACTGAAGATTACTGAGATAATTTTTTTAAGAAAAGAAAGTAAAACAAAACAAACACAAAGGTAGCATAGGCACCAAGGGTTTTCCCACTTGTTCCCCAAAACCCATACTTAAAACTTAAGCATCGCCACCTCTAGAAAAATCAGCTTCAGGGATAAAGAGGAGGCAGGTCAAATTCTTTTATTTAAGAACAGCAGAGAGGGGTGCCTGGGTGGCTCAGTAGTTAAGTGTCTGGCTTTGGCTTAGGCCCTGATCCCAGGATTCTGGAATTGAGCCCCATGTTGGGCTCCCTGCTCAGCAGGAGTCTGCTTCTCCCTCTCCCCCTGCTTGTGTTCTTTCTCTTGCTGTGTCTCTCTCTCTCTGTGTCAAATAAATAAATAAAATTAAAAAAAAAAAAAACAGGAAAGGAAAAGTGCAGGTCTTTTAGACCTTTTGGTAAGGAGCACGTCTTACAAATGAACCTGTTAGATTTTCTAAGAAAAGCTTCCTCTTACAGTTTGGTTCTTTAATGATTCACTTAAAATTGTTTCCTAAAATTATATATCAGATTAACTTATACTGCTTTGGACATTTTTTTATAAACACAAGTTCTTCTCCTTAAATGTAATTTGTTTTCTTAAAATAAGTGGCTCATAGGATAGGAGTTCTATGAAAAGGGATCTCTCTACAATCTTTCTGCGGACGTTAACATTAATAGGTTCTGTGACATTTAATTCACCCACAGAACAGCTCCTGGGTCCCAGGCACTGGTGTGTCTGGGTGCTGAGGCTGTAGCGGTGGTGAGGTGGCCGGAGCCCCCCACTGCAGGCCAGGGAAGACAAAGGACAATGACTACTTAGCATGTTAGGGGGGCCCGGGGCCATGGAGAACTAAACGCATGGGAAGGGGGTTAGGATGTGGGAAGCGGCGCTGCCCTTCTCCGTGGGGACGTGTCTGAGAAGGCCTCACTGATGAGGGGACACCTTGGATAGAGATCTGAATGCTCTGGGGAGGGAGACAGCCATTGCGGCTGCACAGGGGAAGAGCATCCCACGCAGAGGGAACAGCAGGTGCAAAGCCTGGAGACACAAGAGTTTCCAGCTTATCCGAGAACTGCCAGAAGGCAGTCGTGTCTGAGCCTGAGCCAGGCCGGTGGGCGTCAGAAGGCTTCGGGTAGGGGCACAGCCGCGCCAACTGGAGCCTGTGTAACAGGGCTTCTTGGTCAAGCGTCTGAGGCTCAGACCTCAGTCCCCTGAGAAACTTTTAAAGAAAGCCTGGTCCCAACCCCAGAGATTCTGAGTGAATTAACCTTGGATAGGGCCTTGGAACTGCTAGGTGTAAAATGTCCTTGGTGATTCTGGTGTGCCCTCAGGCTTCCAAACACTGGAGGCCACAGTGAAGACTGGATTTTGTTCCCAGCGAGGTGATATGACTTAGAATTTGTATAGGATCATCCCAGCTTCCGTGTGGGGTGGGGCGAGCCAGCGGGCTGAGAGACCTGTTTGAAGGCTGTTGCAGTAATCTGGGGCTTGCACAGTACGGTGGCCGTGGAAGTGGTCCCGAGTGGCCCGGTCCAGGTAGATCCTGAGGGCCTGTATGTTCCTGGAAAGAATTTCCATGATTTTAAACACTTGCAGACAGAAAGACTTCTGAGATGTTGTCAACCCAGATGGCACCGACTGGTAGGCTGAACACCGTTAGTATGTTTCCGAAACGGACCTTGACACGACGAGCAGGTCCTCAGTCTTTGCATCTGGAGAAGGGAGCACATACCCCGGTGTCAGCGTGGGCCCCAGCTCTGGTTTGGGAAGCCTAGGGAGGAGAACGGCGGTGGCCTGGCTTTCACCTTCCGAGTGGTAAGAGTAGCTGATGCGGAGATGCCGACTTGCCCAAGCTGGCACCGGCGTGCCGTGCCCGGACAGAGCTTGGAGAGCTGTCTCGCATCAGTTTTCCAGCAGAGGCTGTGAAAGGGAAGCTCCGCTTCCAACTGCACCCACCCGCGGCTCTTACCTGATTAAGTGGGATTTTGTTCGTTCTTTTCTTTAAATGCATAGTTCCCTTGCCTGCATGAGGACCACTTACTTTGGTTCCCGGAGGACGGGACAGTCTGTCGGGTGTTTGCCCGGCGTACGGTCTAATGCCAAAGAAACAGTTATTGAAGCTTTATGAATTCCTCGTGGAGGCGGGAGGTGAGGACAGTGCTTTCGGTGGTGGTGAGGCCTCCATGCTGGAAAAGTGACATTTGAGCAGAGACTTGAAGTCAGTACAGAGGGTGAACCATACTGGGAATCCCCTAGGAGACATGTGCTGGGGGAGCGGTGCTGGGTGCAGGAGCCCCGCATGGGGCTTGCTCGGGGTGGGGCGTCTGGTGACTCTCCATCGGGCCTGGGAGGCTGAGCAGTGAGCAAAGGGAGAGTGGCTGGTGAGGTTAGAAAAGCTTAGGGCAAGGACCGGGGCTGGGCAGACAAGATACGTGATGCCTTGTAGGCCTAGGGCTTTGGTTTTTATCTCCGGATGGGAAAGGGGGACCTTGGAGTGTTTGCAGCAGAAGTGTGAAATGATCGGACTGCTTGCAGGCTCCCTGTGGTTGCCGCATTTGCTGTGGGCAGCAGGGAAGCTGGGACAGAAGTGGGCAGACCCGTTCGGCTGCTGCAGAGAGATGGGGGTGGTAGTGAAGGTGGTGAGAAGTGGTCAGACTCTGGGTACGTTGCAAGGCAGACATAAATGTGAATGATGTGCAAGTCACCCCGGTGCGCGGGTATCCCCGGGAAGGTCCAGTATGAGGGTTGTGAGCTATCTCAGGGTGGACTGTAAGGGAGTAAATGCAGTGTGTTCTCTCGTGTCCCGTGTATAATCATGTTCCTCCTTGTCTCTGGTTTTAAGGGAAGGAACCCTATCTTACACTTTCGCTGTATCCTTTTAGCACTTAGCACCCAGTACTTAGGTACACAGTAGGTGCCTGGTAAGGGTTTCATTCATTCATGCTTATCAAGGAATCAAGTGGTAGTGCCTTTTTTTTTCCTCTTAATATTGTGAAAATGGGTGATTATTGCTTTTTGCACTGTGTTGGATGTATATTTCTAAACGCTGTCCCTTTTTTAGGTGAGAAGCCATTTACTTGTGAAATCTGTGGCAAATCTTTCACAGCAAAGAGTTCTCTTCAGACCCACATCAGAATCCATAGGTAAAGTTTTACAGATATTTTTCTTATATGGGAATCCTCAGTGAACCCTGGTGTTCAGTTGGATGGCATATGTTACTTATATAATCTTTTTCCCCAAATTATTACATGGGTAGAACTTTCTGTGTAGTTTACTATATTTTATCTTTTCAATAAAGCAATTTGTCACTTGGGCAGAAATCAGGAAAGCTGGTTCTGGCCAGCAAAAGTTTGCATTACTGATTTCATTTCTTGAATTTTTATTTTGTGCTAGGGGCTGATCCAAAGCTTAAATCTTCAGTTAAAAATAAATATTCAGGGGGTGGGCAGCAGGAGGGAAAAAAACGATTAATGTTTTCTGAATAAATATTTTTGTTCACACAACTTCCAGATTTGAATCAGTAGTTCTTCTAAGACATATAATTAAGGGTTACTCAACTTGGATTTTTTTTTTTTTTTTTTAAGAGAGGGAGGAAGGAGCTGGGGGTAGGGGGAGGAGAGGGGCAGAGGGAGAGAGAATCTAAAGCAGGCTTCACACTCAGCGAGGAGCCCCAATACAGGGCTTGATCTCACAACCCTGAGATCATGACCTCAGTGGGAATTGAGAGTGGGAAGCTTAACTGACTGAGCCACCCAGGCCCCCTACTCAAGTTTTCAATATTGAAGTCAATCCCATGTACTTAAATTTGGCCACAAGAATCTAAAAGTTGGCCATGAAGATGAAAACAAAACAAAAAGGAACTTTATGTTTAATATATAAATATTTGCTTTCTTATCTAAAATACAGACTATAGAATCATAAAATGTTATCACATGTAGCCGAGCCCCATCCACCAACCTTTCTCAGCATCCCCGCCTTTTCCCTTTAGGGTTAGAAATGGAAAGCCCTGAAAAGTGGTGACTTGCTCTGACTCCTTGAGTTAGTAGAACACATGACTTATGACTCCCAGTTGAGTTACTTTTCCTCTACTCTTGACTTCTTCTCCCTCAGGAAGTAATAAACAGAGCTGTTCTTAAAGTCCAATGTGTATTTTTTGTAGAGGAGAGAAGCCCTACTCCTGTGGCATATGTGGCAAGTCCTTCTCGGACTCCAGTGCCAAGAGGAGACACTGCATTCTGCACACGGGCAAAAAGCCTTTCTCCTGCCCGGAGTGTAACCTGCAGTTCGCACGCTTGGACAACCTGAAGGCTCACTTGAAAATCCACAGCAAAGAGAAGCCCGCGTCAGATGCCCCCGGCGGTCCTAACACTGAGGAGGTCAGGAATATTCTCCAGCTGCAGCCGTATCAGCTCGCAGCCTCTGGAGAGCAGGAAATCCAGCTTCTCGTCACCAATTCTGTACACAACATCAACTTCATGTCGGGCCCCAGCCAGGGAATCAGCATCGTCGCTGCCGAGGGCTCTCCGAACTTGGCGGCCGAGCAGGCTGCCGACCTGGCCCTGCTCACGCAGCCACCGCAGCCGCTGCAGAACTTCCTTCTCTCCGCCCCGCAGGAGCCCACGGAGCACATGCAGGGCCTCAGCGTGATCGAGAGCCCGCTGGAGCCCGCGCAGACCGAGCCGGTGCACGTAATCACGCTCTCCAAGGAAACCTTGGAGCATCTGCACGCCCAGCGGGGGCAGACTGCGGAGCTGCCCTTGGCAGGTGCGTCGGACCCCACACCACACCTGCCGCTGACGCCGGCCCCGCCCACCGCCCACGTGCCCCCCGCCCTCCCCGCTGAGCCCGGACGGGAGCTGAGCTGACCTGGACGCGCCTTCTGTCGGTGGACCTCGGTCGGAGGACGGCAGGCTTTCTGAACCGCTCCGAACGCAGCCTTCGGGTCCTGAGACCGCTCGCTGACAGTCCTCCCGCTTTCCGCTCAGGCCCCACGATGTGCATTTCGTGTCTTGGGTGCTGTCCTGGTCTGGATTTAGCCTTCGATGTTGATGAACAGTCTTCATTTTCCTCGACATCTCTGAAAGTCGTGGGTAATTTTGATTTGGGGGCACTGAATTAGACTCGAAGTCTTGAATGTCCACGGCCACAGGTTATATGGTCTTGCTGACCTTTCCAGTTAGCTTTTCTAGAACAAAGGAAGCCCCGTACTGGTTGAATGCGGTAGAATGGTTTGTTCCACTTCTTTATTTCTCGTAGGCAACACAGTTGCTTCTCTAAGGTAAGTCAGGGCTGAATGCGACAGATGACAACGCTGGAGAATCTGTCTTTCTACTATCTTCTAATTCCCTAAGACAGAGTCACTGTCAACATTTAACCTCTGTGTGGTACAGTGGGTTCTTTGTGTCATATTTAAGGGAGATTCAAAGACATAGAAACTGAAAGTCTGTTGTAACTCAAAATGAATATAATAAAGTCAAAAAAGTACAGGATTATTTTAAAAATTTTAACTCCGCTTTTCTGAGAAACATGGATTTATATATTTTTTTGGATTTACATATTTTTTAAAAGCAGGTTATTGAAAATTTAATTTAAAAGTCTAATGAAACTGGATCAAGACATTCAGCCCATAAATTCTGAATTTTTGTCAGCAGTGATACTTGTTTGATAAAGTTAAGACTCCATTATCCTGGAATATAAGATTTTATTCAATGTAATTTAAGTGTCAAATATACTCTACTGAATTCTAATTGATCCTGAAAGTGATCTGTGCATTGTGTCTGATAACTTTCTGGAGATGGGACCTTAAAATCTATTTTTATTGCCAAGTAGGTTAAATCTCACAAAATGGACATCTCATTTTAAAAAGTAAATATAATCACCTAATCTTAAAAATGATCTGAACCTCAGAGCCTTAATAACCTGTCTATAACTGTGGTATGATTTTAAATTAAATTGTCAAAAGTTGAAATTATGTGTGGGTTAGGTTTTCAAGTCCAGTGTACTTTTTGAATACTTCAATTGCTTTCTCTCAAGTGGACTGATAGAAGATTTTGGAGAAAAGAGGATGGGCACTAGTACATCTAAGTTAACATAATGCTGGTGGAGAGTAGGGCTAATCTATCCTAAAATGAATAGGATCTTGAGATTACTTTCTTGCTTTAGGTATCTTTGATTTCTACCTGAATCAAGAAGGTTTTTTTAGAGATTAAGGTAATATATTTCTTCAGGTTTGAGGGAAGATGAAAGCATTTTTTTCCCACATATTTGCCAAATTAGATTTGATTGTATATAATTCACGAGATTTCTAAAATGTGTATCTTAACATGTATCAGCCAAAGTGATGTTTAAATCACCCCTGAGTGGAGCCAAGATAAAATTTTTACAAATACAGTTATGACCTAAATGCTATTTCAAGTTCTTAGTCATTTAAACTATCTACTTTAACCTTATTCTTAAAATGCAAAGTTTTTAGCGAGCTTTTCAAAGCTTACTGGCCCCCGGTTTCTGCTGGAGATACACGGTATTAACGTAAATGAATTTTTAACTACTCAGTCTGGAGAGCTGGAGAATTATTCAGGAAATATGGTCACATAAGTCAAGCTTAACTAGCTTTGTGACAGTCTACCTCGGCACTAGGAGAAATAGAATATGGGCCACATGTAATTTTAAATTTTCTAGTAGCCGCATTAAAAACAAGGTGAAATTGATTTGAATAAAATGATTTAATCCAACATGTGCCAAATATCATTTCAACATGTAATCAATATAAAAATATATTAATAAGATATTTTATATTTTTTCATATATTTTCCACTTAGTGCACAATTTGGATGCTAATGTTCTTTGGACATACATGATCTGTATTTAGAGCTCATACAATTTACAATTAAACCTAGATTCACATACAGTTGCAGACATACTTAATTTTTTCCCAGTAACTGAAGTAATTACTGGTTTAAATTTATATTAAAATTAAAAGCTGGGGCACCTGGCCAGCTCAGGCAGAAGAGCATGTGACCGTTGATCTCAGGATTGTGAGTTCAAGACCCACATTGGGCAAAGAGATGACTAAAAGAAAATACTGGGGAAAAAAAAAAAAAAAAAACCATCACCAGTTCCTCAGTCACACCAACCACATTGTGAGTTCTTGATAGCCATATGTGTGGCTAATGGGTTCTGTTGTGTATGACACAGGCGTACCTGTTTCTAACTTGAGAGCCAGTCTCAGCCATAAAAGTATCTTCTGTAAGAGTTCTGGTTTGTTTGACCAGCTGTCAAAGGGAGAGGAGGAAATGAGAGCTTTATAAATGTAGCCTCTCTTGTGTCCCAGATACACATTCTGCCTTCTGAAGTCCCAAATTCTAAAGTTCAATGCCTCTGTACCCAAAGTAAATGTCATGTACATAAAAATGTTTCTATTGTTTGAGAAATTGCCGGCTCAATGTTTCACAACTTATTTTGTACTAAACTTGTACAGTTTTTTAAATTGTTTTAACAAATGCAGAAATACAAAGTGTGCTTCATAGGATATAGAATATTATGCTTTGGGTTACTGAAATGCACATTCTCACTTTCAAAAAAATGAATCTTTGGTAGAGGGCTCTTAGTAGAGGGCTAGCCTTGGAAAGACTGGCACTCCCACCATCAAAATGAGTTATTTATTCATTTGATTGCATCTGCTGCCTTTTTTTTTTTTTTTAAGTACTTAAGGACCATGCCAGACAGGGGGCTTGAACTCATGACCCTGAGGTTGAGAGTCACATGCTCTACCAACTGAGCCAGCAAGGCACCCGTACATCTATTTCTTGAAACTTTCTACCTCTACTCTATTTTATGCAGTTGGTTCCTGGGATTCTAAGTGTTGTGAGCAACCAGTTAAATCATGCTGAAGAATATAGTGATATTCTCATTATAGATGCTTACATTTAGGTTTTCATAAATTGGATAATAACATCTGCCACTTACTGAGTCTTTACTACGGGCCGGGAGTGAAACCAAGTGTGGTAGGTCTGTATCTTATCTTTGTGCTTCTCCACTTTCTCCTGTGTCATGGCACACAAAGTAGGACTTAGACGGCAGCCTGCGGTTAGGGAACTCCAGGGACGCCCCCAAGTCATGACTGGTCTGTTGGGCTTGAGAAGGCTGCCGTGACAGAAACTACAGACTGGGTGGTTTAAGGCAACAGAAACATATTTTCTCAGTTCTGGAGGCTAAAAGTTCAAGTTCAAGATCAAGTTGTTGGCAGGGTTGGTTTCTTCTGAGGCCTCCTGACCTCCTTTCCTCCCTGTGTCTTCACATGGTCTGCCCCCTGTGTGTTTTGTCCTAATCTTAGAAGGACACCAGTCACCACTGGATTCGGGTCCACCCTAATCCTAACGACCACATTTTCACTTAGTTGCCTCTTTAAAGACCTTGTCTCCAAACACAGTCACATTCTGAGGTGCTGGGGGTTAGGACATCACCATGAATTTGGTGGGGACACAGTTCAGCCCATAATAACACACATCTGGAACAAGGAGAGAAGCAGCATCTGGGAGGCACCTATACCCTGTGCTTCAGCACAGTCTTATTTTACTTAACCTTCATGACATTATCAAGGGGTATGTAATGTGCCTATTTTACAGATGAGAAAATTGAGGCCCAAACAGATGAAGTCTCTTGCCCAAAGTCACATAGTAACTGGCAAAGCCAGACTGATGCACAGGGCCAGCAGAGCCCACTACACTGCTTCTGCCAGATGGGCTTTCCATCGCCAGTCTTTTGATACTTTAAGCTGGATTTCTATTTACATAGGATCTGCTTGATGTAATAGGAAATTTTTGACTAAAATTGAGAATCTGAGGCACCTGGCTGGTTCAGTCAGTTGAGCATACATACAGCTCCTGATATCAGGGTTCGTGGGTTCAAGCCCCATGTTGGGCATAGAGCCTACTTAAGAATTGATCTGTGTCTGACATTTTAGCACACAAACTTTTTACATAAAACAATAATTATAAAAGGTACATAGTCTTTGTCTTATGGAATGATGACCATATTAATATTCATATTAGTATTTTACTACTGTTGGTTTAAAGCTTCACAGAAATTTGGGGCACCTGGGTGGCTCGGTGGGTTAAAGCCTCTGCCTTCAGCTCAGGTCATGATCTCAGGGTCCTGGGATCGAGCCCCACATCGGGCTCTCTGTTCAGCAGGGAGCCTGCTTCCCCCTCTCTCTGCCTGCCTCTCTGCCTACTTGTGATGTCTCTCTCTGTCAAATAAATAAATAAAATCTTAAAAAAAAAAAGCTTCACAGAAATTTACCTATTGGATGAAAGTTACTGCTAACATGGAAATGCCTTAACATGAGCTTTTGTGAGCCTCTTTTTCAAACTCCTGACAGGATGTTTTACATTTAGAGCAGACTTGTTTGTTTTTTGTTTTTTGTTTTGGAGAGGGGGAGAGAGCATCAGAGCAGGAGAGTGGGGGAAGGCAGAGGGATAGAAAGAATCTTAAGCAGGCTCCACGCCCAGCTTGGAGCCTGATGTGGGGCTGGATCCCACAACCCTGAGATCATGACCTGAGCTAAAACCAAGAGTCAGACACTTAACCAACTTAGCCACCAAAATACTCTTATTTGTTAAGCATTGAGGTGAATTGTTATCCTCACTTTCCAGACTGAAATAAGCCTAAATTCTTAAGAATTGAAAGAAAACTTTTGGTCTTACTCTTGTAAACAGCAGGCTTGGAGGAATGACCCAAAAAAATCCCCTTTGCTTTTTGTAAACAGCAGGTGTTGAGGAATGACCTCTACAAGATGCAGGAATGTCGCTGTGATAGTTTATCTAACTTTCAAATTCTTTGCACATAATTAAGCAACAAACACTTT